ACTGGGGCAATCCCGGGACGGCCCGCATATGTTGTGTCCGAATTTCCCAATCAATGCACAAGGCACAGTCGCGGATACAAAAGCAGAGGTTTGTTACCCAGCAGGCTGGGACCCCCTACCCGCACACAGCCCTTTAGCAGTGCACAGGCAAAAGGCCCTCTCGTTTGCATAAGAGTTTTTTATAGCCTCACGCTTGCAAGGGTGCAGGTCATCTCCTACGTAGGTTACCTTCTTACTCTCTATATGGCAAGGTATGTTCTCTGGTTCATTCAAACGTAAAGACGATATACGTTATGTGGCGGGAAGGCCACACAAAGGAGATGGCACCGGGAAGAACTGGCGGGAAGCATCGGGCCATAAATCCCAGGGGAGCTGGTGGGGGGCAGGAGGTCATAAACTCCAGGGGAGCATAGCAGGAGAGCAAGCAGCCAGAGTACAGAAGACTCCAGCTCCTACACTAGCAGGTGTGTCTGGACTCGGATGCTCCCTCCTAGCCAGTACCCCCACCTCTGTATTCAAACTCCCCGGCTTTGAAGGTCTGTCAGGAGCTCTGTGAGATCGCGAGAACTTCCAGTCCGCGTGCACTGCAGAGCTCCCTCGCGGTCACTGTTACTTTTAGATGCCGCCCTCCTTTTTTCTTCTTCTATTTTAAAACAGGATAATTTGTTACTTTATTGTCAAGACTTCACTTTTTTTTTTTTTTTTTTTTTGACAGGCAGAGTGGACAGTGAGAGAGAGAGACAGAGAGAAAGGTCTTCCTTTGCTGTTGGTTCACCCCCCAATAGCTGCTGCAGCTGGTGCTCTGCGCTGATCCGAAGCCAGGAGCCAGGTGCTTCTCCTGGTCTCCCATGGGGTACAGGGCCCAAGCACTTGGGCCATCCTCCATTGCACTCCCGGGCCACAGCAGAGAGCTGGACTGGAAGAGGGGCAACCGGGACAGAATCCGGCACCCTGACCGGGACTAGAACCCGGTGTGCTGGCGCCACAGGCAGAGGATTAGCCTATTGAGCCGCGGCACCAGCCAAGACTTCACTTTTAAACTTATGCTACAGGGGCCGGTGCTGTGGTGTAGTGGGTAAAGTCAGCACCTACAGTGCCAGCATCCCAACTGGATGCTGGTTCAAGTCGCAGCTGCTCCACTTCCAATCCAGCTCTCTGTTGTGGCCTGGGAAAGCAGTAGAAGATGGCCCAAGTGCTTGGGCCCCTGCACCCATGTGGGAGACCCGGATGAAGCTCTTGGCTCCTGACTTCGGATCAGAGCAGTTCTGGCTGTTGTAGCCATTCGGGGAGTGAACCAGCAGATGGAAGGCACACCTCCCTCTCCCTCTCCCTCCCTCCCTCCCTCCCTCCCTCCCTCTCTCTCTCTCTCTCTCTCTCTATGCCTCTCTAACTCTGCCTTTCAAATAAATAAATAATTTTTAAAACTAGAAAAATAAAAGGATAAGAAGAAAATTATTTTTAAAAAACCAAAACTGGGCTGGCGCTGTGGCTCACTAGGCTAATCCTCTACCTAACGGCGTCGGCACACCGGGTTCTAGTCCCGGTCGGGGCGCCGGATTCTGTCCCAGTTGCCCCTCTTCCAGGCCAGCTCTCTGCTGTGGCCAGGGAGTGCAGTGGAGGATGGCCCAAGTGCTTGGGCCCTGCACCCCATGGGAGACCAGGAGAAACACCTGGCTCCTGCCTTCGGATCAGTGCAGTGTGCAGGCTGCAGCGCGCCAGCCGTGGCGGCCATTGGAGGGTGAACCAACGGCAAAGGAAGACCTTTCTCTCTGTCTCTCTCACTATCCACTCTGCCTGTCAAAAAAACAAAAAACAAACTGTGTTATCTTGAGAGCCTCAACCCATGTGCCTTTTCCCTGGCGTTTGGAAGCTCGCCTCTCAGAAGCCTGACTTTGCGCCTTTGGGCCGTCCGAGCAGCTCTAGAACGCGGTGGCATCCTTCTCTGGAGTTCTGGTCGCTCTCCCACCAGCCAGCTCCGCCGTGTTGGTCAAGCTGGCCCAGGGTTCCTTAGCTTCTGAGCTCAGATGGCAGCTGGGCCGGTCGGAAGCCCGGCAAAGGCTCCACGTTGGGCCAGGCCACGCACCAAGAGGTATCCACAGGTGATGGACGTCTCCTGTGTCCGCTGCCCAGGCCTCTCTGACAGCAGCAGGTAGAAAACATGGTGCCCTCCTGAGCGTTCTTGAGCCCCCACCCCACCCGCCCTGCTCTTGCTGACCTTCCATCACCCCGAGAGCGTGGACCAACGCCTCCTACTCCACATCTCGACTCCTCGACTCCCGTGGGTTCCATTTTCCACCATCCACGGCCAAAGAACCCAATGTATCCTCTGCTCGTTTGCAGAAATTTCAATGGCCCTGGTCCCTCATCCCCGCCTGCAGCAGTGCCGCCCACCAGGAGGCCCCACGAGTCCTGGCTCCCACGTCTTGGAGCTCTCGCAGAGTCACTGTTTGAAAATAGCAGCTTCCTTGGCTACAGAGCACCGGGAGGTGGGGCGGTGCCGAGGAGCGCTCCCTGGTCTCCTTCCCGTTGCCCTTGGCCATCAGAGGACCAGGCTCAGCCCCAGAGGAGGGGAGCTGAGCCCAGGCTCGGCCCAGGGGGTAAGGATGCCGCATGGTCTACACACGTCGGCTGCCCCCTTTGTCTCAGGGAGTTACGCAGAACAGGGGTCACTATCATTTCCCACTTACACTTGGAAACTGTAACCACCTGACCGAAGGTCACACAACCATCGATCTCCTGGAGCTGCAGCTGGGAGCCAGGTGTTCTAACTCCGCATTCCCAAGCTCTTTCATGTACAACCTTCTACACGTGGACCTCAGAAGTGGGTGGAGTCCCCCTAGACAGAAACAATTAGGTACTAACCACGGGGCATCCCACATAGGATGCGAGGAGGTGGGCTAATCCCCAGGACGGGACGTGTGACGTGGAGCAGAGGCACAGGAGCCACAAGGCAGAGGAGCGTGGACTTCACCCTCACCTGTTTCAGAGCTCAAAGGCAAAACCCCACTGTCACAGTGGAGTCCAGCCCAGGAGCCCTCCGGTTCAGGCCCCTGCGCGCCAGCAGCCCAGGTACCATCCCCTGCATCCATCTTAATGGTGAGCAGTGGAGGGGCATGTAGGACCCGGCTCCCCCAACTCAGGGCAGGGCAGACCGAGAGGCACTGGACGGTGGGCAGAAGTTCTTCCCAGGCCCAGCCCCGGACCCTCGAGGACATGTGGAGAGTGAACCAGTGGATGGAAGATCACTGTCTCTCCTAAAATCTGCCTTTCAAATAAACAAATAAATCTTAAAAAAAAAAAAAAAAAAGTGAGGGAGGCAAGTTATTCCCCAGGGTTTTCATTTGCAAAGCAAGGGTCCTAACCTTGACTCACAGCTGCAGGCTTCCAGCCATCAAGGCCCACCCGCGTGGCCAGTCTTGTGGCACAGCAGTGGGCTAAGCTGCCTCCTGCAACACCGGCATCACCTATCAGAGCGCTGGTTTGGGTCCCAGCCGCTCTGCCTCCGGTCCAGCTCCATAGTAATGTACCTGGGAAGGCAGCAGAGGACGACCCCTGTGCTTGGGTGCCTGCCACCCACAGGGGAGAGTCAGATGGAGTTCTGGGCTCCTGGCTTTGGGCTGGCCCAGCCACAACGGGTGCAGCCATTTCTAGAGTGAACCAGCGGATGGAGGGGCTCCCTAGCTCACTCTTTCTCTCCCTCCAGCTCTCTATCACTCTGCCTTTCAAATAATTAAGTTTTTTAAAAAAAATCATGCTTCCTGGAACTCCACTGCCCTCCCCCACATCTGCTCCTTGGCTCCCCAACTGCTGGGATCCTCATTAGAGCTCACACAGCTGATCACCACCTGCCTGACAACCAGCAGCCCAGTGCCACGGAAAGCTAATTCAAGCCTCTCTCATGGCGGATAGATTAGAATCGCCCACCTGTTCCTTGTCTTTAGCCCCTCCCCAATTCCCCAATACACACACACACCACCCCCCTACCCCTCAGGGAAGGAGTGATGCAGCTCCTGTCCTCGTTCCACTCACCATCTGCCGGGGGCTGTTTTCGGCACCTAATAAGGCAGTTTTAGAACAAATCCTGGTGTGTTCTGCCCTTTGCCTCTCCAGGGCAGGAGACAGGGACTCCAGATGGAGCTAAATTTAGCTGCCGGGCAAAGAGAAGGTGACACGGTCCTCTGAGGTCTAGCAAGGGACCCCAGGAGCACCCCGCAAGCAGTGCCCGGGCCTCAGCTTTCACCGTGGGGAAGCAGAGCTCAAAGCGAGGCCGCGCGGCCTGGGTTCAGGTCCCTGCTCGACCCCTTGCCTACCTGGGCTGCCCGCTCCTCCTCCTCCACCACCAGCCCGTGGGGCTAACAGCACCTGACCCGGTGGTGCGCCCACTGATGCCGGCATCAGAGTCCCCTGGGCAGGGCTTAAGATGCAGGTCGCTGGGCCTGAACCCCATGGCTCTGCGTCTGGAGCGTGGCTTGGAAGTCGGTGTCTCTACCACAAGTTCCCGCGGCGCTGCTGGGCCAAGACCGGGCACGTGAGCTTGTTGTGGGGCCTAAATGAGAAAAATGGGAGCGAAGCGCCCGGCACACCGGAGGGAGCAGCTGTGCATTGGGATCACCTGGGGAGCTCTGGCAAGTTCCCCGTGCCCAGCCCCACGGGCCAATGAAATCCAAGTTCCTGGAGGCGGGGCGTGCACAGGGCTGCTTTTTAAAAACCCCGGGGGATGGCTTAGCTGCGCAGCCAAGGTTAAGAGGAACCCGGTAAACCTGAACACCCTCTGGGCCACTTAGCTGCCCCTCCCCGGCTGCCCCCAGGGGCCCGGCTCCCACTCGGGAAGGACCAGGCAAAGCCTAACCGTGGCTTTGTTTGCCGGAGTGGGTGCCGAGCCCCACATGGAAGATGAAAGCGGGTTATCTGGCTCAGTGGCTTCGCCCCTCACTCAGAGCCGCTGTCACTCATTCATCACCAACCCAAGGGCCTGGGGAGGCGGTTACGCGCAACCCCAGCCCTGTGCTCGGGAGTTTGGGCTCTGGGACTCGGACCACTCGCCAGCCCCACCCACCACCCTCCCTGGCAGCTCATCCCCACTTGCATGCCGTCGGTGACAGAAAGCTCATTACCTCACAAGGCGGCCCGTTCCGCTTAACCACTTTACTTGTTAAGTTCTTCCGAGGTCAGCGCTGTGGTGTAGAGGGTAAAGCTGCAGTGCGGGCATCCCATATGATTGCTGGTTCGAATCCCGGCTGCTCCACTTCCGACCCAGCTCTCTGCCATGACCTGGGAAAGCAGTAGAAGATGCCCCAGGTTCTTTGCACCCCTGCACCCACGTGGGAGATCAGAAGAAGCTCCTGGCTTCAGATCTGCCCAGCTCTAGCCGTTGTGGCCATTTGGAGAGTAAACCCCAGCAGATGGAAGACCTCTCTCCCTCTCTCTGTAACTCTGCCTCTCAAATAAATAAATAAAATCTTTAAAAAAAAAAATAAAAAGTTCTTCCTCTCACTATGACCACACACATTCTTGGTTTGTTTTTTTAAAGATTTGTTTTGTTTGTTTGAAAGGCTGAGTTCCCCCGGGGGAGGGGTGGGAGGGGTGAGAAAGAGGGTGAGAGGTTGTCCGTCTGCGGGTTTACTCCCCAGATGGCTGTGATGTCCAGGCTGGAGCCAGGAGCTTCCTCTGGGTCTCCTGTGTGCGTGCAGGGGCCCAAGGGCTTGGGCCATCTTCCACTGCTTTCCCAGGCTCATCAGCAGGGAGCTGGATTGGAAGTGGAGCAGCCAGAACTCAAACCAGCGCCCATATGGAATGCCAGCACCGCAGGCAAAGGTTGAACCTACTACACCACAGCGCCGGCCCCACAGTCCCATGCTCTGCACTTGGCAAAATGGAGCAGAGGTACAGAGATTTCCAGATGCCCTCTGTCCCCCTGCCCACCCGCACAGCCTCCCCCTCTGCCGATGCCCCACACGGTAAGGGGGGGCACCCTCTGTGGCAGTCATGCCCTCTCGCGGCGGTGGCGGCAGCACCAGAGCCTGGGCTTGGCGAAGCAAGATGGCAGGAGCGGCAGACCTGAGCCCTGCTCCGTCTTCCTGTCCCGGATCTGGGAAGGCTCCTGTCTCGTCCTCATCCTGCTCCCGGCCATCAGGAGCCAGACTGACCATGACTTAGGAGGACGTCTGCGGCAGTGAGCGTGGATTCCACCCAGGAGCAGATTCTTGGAGGGCAGGGATCACCAGTGCTCACGGAGGCTCTGCAGGGCACGGGCAGTGCAGGCCGGTGGCTTAGGCGATTGCCACGGCACTGCCAGAACCAGCCTGTGGACCTCCCGGGCTCCGGCACAGGCGCAGCCCCTCGCCTGTCTCCTCGCCCTGGGGGTGGAAGTCAAGGGGAGCGGGTCTGGAAGCCATCTCTGTGCAGTGCTCACCTGCCAGGAAAATGGTTTTTCCAGGGAAATGCGATTCAGTCACATCCAAGGTGAGAACAGAGTACACCCAGACGGATGAGGCTGAGACAGTCGCTCAGTGGCTGTTCTGGAAGACTGCCCTGTTCCATCATGCGTGCACACATGTCACATACATGCACATATGTTCACACCCCCTCTGCGGTTCCGCTCGGGACAAGGTGACTGCTGGCATCACCCTGCACACCAGGCATGGCCTCCAGCCCCCCACCAGCCTCTGGCCCATCCTGAGGCTGCAGGATGAGAATCACACATGACACAGGCCAGCCCCAGGGGAGCTGGTTCCACCCAGTGTGCCACCCCTGAGTCTATGGGAGGGGTCTGTGGAAGTGCCTATTATGAAAAACTGTGCATGGATTTCAAAGTTCGCACCCAAATAAACTTTCCTTTCACTTCCATGAACCTTGGGAGGGGCCCTTGAACAAGGGGCCACTGATGGTCCTGTGTGGGCAGCCACAGGTAGTCACTCCCTTTGTTTACACTTAAACATATGAATGGAGACTTCCAGGCACAGACAAATGGGCTAGGGAGATTCCGGGAAGAGGCAGGAAGAACCTAAACCTCTCACAAGAGATAATATAGATAATCAGTCACACCTGAAACCTGCATTTATCACCTAAGTGTTTTATTGTAACCTTAAGAGCCTTTTTGATATGTAAATCTTTTGTGCTCCTTCTTGTAAACAACTGGTCATGTTTAAATACTACTGGATTTGTTGAATAAACGAGCCTTGATCAGGACTTGTCTTGGCTCCATTCTTTGTGTCCTTGTCCCCGCATTCCCACTCTCTGTTTCAGGAAAACCCAGTTCATTGTGCCGCAGGCTGGCACAGTCCCGCACACTCCTGCCCCCTCCGACACCTCCGTGACATTCCTTGCCCTCCAGCCCCCTGCCCCCAGCTGACTAGAAAGGTGGGGCGCTGGCCTGCGACACACACACACGCACACGCACATGCACACACACACCCTGCCCCACCACCATGCCTTCATCCACAGGGCAAGCACTGAGCCTGCACAGAGCCCAGATGTGTCAAGACTCAACTGTCCCCAGCTGTGAACCACCTCCCAGGCTTGCTGGACACGGGGTGCTCCATCCACGGCAGCAAGATCCATCTGGAGACCACTATGGTGGGACAGCAAGCGGAGCTCCCTGCCAATGTGGGAGGGCCGGGGGTGAGGCCCAATGTGCTTGGGCCCCTGTCACCCATAGGAGAGACCAGAGTGCACTCCTGGCTCCTGGCTATGGCCTGGCACAGCCCTGGTTGTGGTATCTGGGGAGTGAACCAGCAGGTGGAAGATTCATTCTCTCTCTCTCGCTGCCTTTAAATAAATAAACCTTAGAAAACATGTCTGCCCAGCCCGGTTCACCAGGTTCCTAGGGCAGAAAAACAAGCAAGCAAACAAAACAGGTGCCATCCTTACAGAAGTCACCGCTGGCAGGTTTTCATCCTGCTGGAAAGGTGTGTTCCAGGAGCAGTAAAAACCCTCCAGACGAGAGCTGAGGCACTGCCCATGGTAGAGAGCAGCTGGCGGCCCCCAGCCAGGGCACGGCGTCAGAGGAGCAGCTCCCCGACCGCGTCTGCCTTTCTATGTTGGGCATTCAACAGAGGTGGCTACCGGGTCAGTCTTGGTGCGGCCACACGGTTAAGCCTTTGCCAGGTCCTCACACATAACCTCTAGGATGCCCTGCTGGTGGCCCCCTGGGCACATCCTGGGTCACAAGGGAGGAAGGCTAATAACCGTCCACCAAGGGGGCCTTCTGGTCTACCCGGGTACCAGAGGGTGCTCGATCAATACCCCTCCAGAACACAAATATTCCCACACTCTGCCCACTCCCAGGGGCTCAACCACGTATTTTCTTCCCCCTAAACTTCCTTGTCACTTGAATCCAAGTCTTTTTAAAGATTTATTTATTTATTTATTTGAAAGGCAGAGTTAGAGAGAGAGAGACAGAGACAGATAAAGGGTTTTCCATATGCTGCTTCACTCCCCAAATGGCTGCAATGGCCAGAGCTGGGCTGAATTGAAGCCAGGAGCCAGGAGCTTCTTCCAGGTCTCCCATGCAGGTGCAGAGGACCAAGGACTTGGGCCATCTTCTACTGCTTTCCCAGGCCATAGCAGAGAGCTGGATCAGAAGTGGAGCAGCAGGGGCTCGAACCAGTGGCCATGTGCGATGACAGCCCCGCAGGCAGCAGCTTTAGCCACTGCACCATAGCACTGGCCCTGAATCCGAGTTTTTGACCATCAGGCCAAACCACGAGCAAACACATGAATCAGTGCGCGCCGTGCCTCTAGCTCTCTCTCCTCCCAAGGAAGGCGTCAACAGTTTGCACCACTGTGAGTGCTGATGGCTAGGAGGACCGGTCCTGTGCAGGAGTGTCACTCCCGGATGCAGATCGGACCTGGGCTGGTTTGCTTAGACACCCACAAGCCACGGAGAGTTTTGCACGGTCGTGGTGCTTGTTCCCTCTTCAGCGAGCTTCCCACGTGGCCCTGGTGTGGGTGGGAGAAGTGGTGACAGCAGGGCCAGAGCGGACACTCAGAGCTCACAGAGCGTATCTGGGCGCTGCATCTGCGCGGCCCTGTCCATCACGCACACTCAGCTCCGGAGGGCAAGGGCGTGCCCGCCCCACGGCTTGGTAGCCAGCGGTTGGAGGCTTAGTGCATCAGGGCACAGAGGAGAGCTCGTCCTTGCGTCCAAGGCCTCTGCGCCTCCATTAGGACTTCCCCACTGGGGTCCACGGAGCACCTCAGAGTTGTTCTGCCAAATGCAGAACCCCGCTGTGGGCAAGAGGGCCACGAGACAGGACTCGCTCTCCCATCTCACAGCCGCAACCCCAGCAGAACACAGAAACCGCGCATTTGAACGACGGTTTGTAAGGTGCAGCAAGATGGCGACCCCCGAGAGACGGGAGGCGAACAAACAAGATGGCGACCCCCAGCGACGTGGGCGAACAAGATGGCGACCCCAGCGACATGGGCGAACAAGATGGCGACCCCCGAGAGACGGGAGGCGAACAAACAAGATGGCGACCCCCGAGAGACGGGAGGCGAACAAGATGGCGACCCCCAGCGACGTGGGCGAACAAGGCTGTCGTGGTTGCCCCGCCCACGTCCTCACTGGGCTCCAGACTGCGCGGGGAGGAGCGAGAAGCCGGGAGGAGCCGCTGAGGTCCCTGAGCTGAGGAGATGGTGCTGAGGGTACAGGGCGGCTGGAATTGAGGGGGAAACCTGGCGAGGCGGGGCTACCCAGAGGGAGGACTCGGAGGCCTGAGGGCTCCCCCTACCCTGTGCTAAGTACCCAGCTGAGGAGGAAGCCATGAGACAGGAAGAAGGGGGCGGTGCGGTGCTGGCACTCACACCCGCCGGAGGCGGTGCCTGTTCCTTGGGGTCAGATGGGAAAACCCTGTGATGCAGGGGCGTGGGAGAGAGCACGAGTGTTGCCCCAGGGGCGCTGGTTCGAGTCCCGGCTGCTCCACTTCTGATCCAGCTCTCTGCTGTGGCCTGGGAAAGCGGTAGAAGATGGCCCAAGTCCTTGGGCCCCTGTGCCCACGTGGGAGACCCAGAAGAAGCTCCTGGCCCAGTTCTGGCTGTTGTATCCATTTGGAGAGTGAACCAGCAGATGGAAGACCTCTCTCCCTGTCTCTCTTTCTGCCTCTCTGTAACTCTGCCTTTCAAATAAATAAATAAATCTTTAAAAAAATAAAAGAAAAGAGTGTTATAGTATTGATTCAGTCATGGGTACCGATTAGCTCTAGACCATGGTCTCTCAATTGATATTTTGGGCCAAATAATCCTGGACTGCACACTGACTATTCTCAACACGTACGTACCTTACAACAGATCGTCACAGCACATAAAGGCACAACAGAATGACAGGGAAAATGCACAGATCCACAATTACAGTCACAAACTTTAATGCCCTTCTTTCAATAATTGAGAGGGGTAGTCAGAAAATTAACAAGGAATTAGATTTCAACGTTAGCAACCAACTTGACCTAATCAACATGTACAGACCATTCCACACAACAGTGGGGTGCACACTACACGTTCTTTTCAAGCATGAAATGTTTAACAAGAGAGACCGTATTCTGGGTCATAAACCTTAACGGGGCCAGCACTGTGGCGTAGCAGGTAAAGCTTCCACCTACTATGCCAGCATCCCACACGGGCGCCTGTTCAAGTCCTGGCTGCTCCACTTCTGATTCAGCTCCTTGCTAATGTGCCTGGGAAAGCAGTGGAAGATGGTCCAAGTTCTTGGACCCCTGCCCTCAAATGGGAGACCCAAAAGAAGCTCCTGGCTCCTGGCTTCAGCCTGGCCCAGCCCCGGCATTTGCAGCCATTTGGGAGTGAACTGGCAGATGGAACACTTTCTCTCTCTCTCTCTCTCTCTCTCTCTCTCTGTGTGTGTGTGTGTGTGTGTGTAACTCTGCCTTTCAAATAAATGAATCTTTTTAGAAAATCCGGGGGTCAAAAAAAAGGCAAATTAGGAGATAATTCAAATTTAATGAGAGCAAAAACACAACACAGATCAAAACCTGCAAGGTGTCATGAGGCCGTGCTTGGGGAGAAACGTACAGCACTCAACACCCACTTGAGAGGAGCGATTGCAAGTCCTCGCTCCAGCTTTCTTCCATCACTGCCCCCCCCCCCATAAGGACCTCTGAGATCCTCCTCCGTGAACCCGAGTGCTGCGAGACTGTGCGCCTGGATCGCCATCACCCGTGCCCAGTGCACAAAACCAGCTCAGTGCCTGGTCCACTGCAGGCGTCAGACACAGCTCGACCGCAGCTCCGCCCTCACTGGTATCCCCATCGTGGCCCCTTACCATGGCCCAGGAGACTGAGGAGGCAGAGGGGCCCATTTCTCATGCCCAACCCGCGAGGGAAGGCAGAGCCTGGCCACCTGACCCTTGAACACCCGTGCAGCTCTTCCCCTCCCCCCGCCCTCCACGTCTGGCTCCTCTCGCTTCCTCGGTTTCGGCTCGGAACGCCCATGCTACGACGTACGCCTGTTCTTCCAGCACGCCTGTACCCCAAGCCCTGCCCTGGGTACCATCACCAGCCCTTGTTTTGCATAACTTCCCCTCCTCCGGGGAACACGCTCCTGGTGAAGCTGTCAATCAAGACTCCCAGTCCCCACCCCGCTCTGTCCTAGTGATGTGAGTGTGAGCAGAGCGCCGCAGACACAGAAGGCCGTCGCGGGAGAGCGTGTTTGCCACAACAGCCCACGTAAGCCAGGCCCCTGCCTGCCTCTACTCCTTTCTCGCTCCTCCTCTCCTTTCACCCATGAACCCCTCTTACCCTTGCAGAGTTGTCTTTGCTTCAGTCCCCCAGCGGCGGCTCCTATGCTGGCGGTCACTCGGATACCAGCGTCGTCCCCGGGCCGTATCTGTCTGCTCCTTTGTAGCATCCCCCGCCATCTGAAATGAGCTGGAAAATTTCATCTGTTTACAGTGTATCTGTCCCTGCCACTAGATATAAGCTCCATGTCAGCAGCCATTTCTCCCAGACGTGGCCCAGAGCAGGGGCCCCGGAGGAGGGCAGGACCGGGCAGGACCACACGGTGGCCTGGGTCTCCCCAGGAGGCCTGATTACTCTCCCTCCCTAGACCTGTGGGAGGGGAAGGGAGAGAAGTAATTGGTACCATTTTCTTCTCCCTTTTTAAAAAGATTTATTTATTTGAAAGACAGAACAACAGTGAAAAAGAGGGAGAGAGAGAGAGAGAGAGAGGGAATCTTCCATCTGCTGGTTCACTCCCCAAATGCCTGCCAACAGGCCGGCTGGGCCAGCTGTAGCCAGGAGCCAGGAACTCTATCCGGGTCTGCCATGTGGGTGCAGGGGCCGGAGCGCTTGAGCCACCCTCCGCTGCCTTGCCAGGTGCATTAGCAGGAAGGCAGAGCAGGAGCAGAGCAGGTGGGGCGCCACCAGCCCTCTGATGCAGTGAGCGGGCATCCCGGGTGGTGGCTTAGCCTCAGCACATGACACCTGCTCCCAGAGGGCTCCCGGGGACCGGTGAGTGAGCTTCCTCCTTTCCCGGGAGGGCAGCTCCTAGCGTTGGCTTCCAAAGCCGCGTCTCCCCTCCCGCCCCTCCCCCTCTGATCTCTACCAAGCCTGGGTAAATCTCAAGCAGTGTCTTATAAATCTTTAATTACAAGAAAATCACAAGCCTACCAGTGAGCACATGAAGAGTGTTGATAAATATTTAAAGTCGCGACAGCAGCAGATCTGAGGGGATTAAGGAGAGGTGTATTGGAGTGACAGTTATTAAACACTAAGCCCCGGTAAACGTTACAGAGCAGATAAATAACGCACACTCCTGACAGGTGCTCTGTTTTGACAAGACTGGAGAGACAGCTGCCGGGGGACGTGGGTCGGGGGGACAGGGAGCCTCACGGGTTGGGGCAGGGGGATTGCAGGAGAGGGGCTTCGCTCCCTGCCCCCTGTCCCGTGCTGTGCCTCGCAGTCCCTGAGCTGGGCCATTTGCTGCCCCGCCCATCCATCGGCCCCGTCGTCCCGCGGTCACCCGTTCGCTCCATCCATTACTCGTGCACGCGCTCATCAGCAGCTCCGCAGTCACCGGCCAAGTGCTTTTGAGCACTTCCCATAGCTGGGGGGTCCAAGGCTGAGCAAGACCCAGGCCTGGGCCGGCGCCGCGGCTCACCGGCTCACAGATTTCCAACATACCCAGACGAATGGTACATGCAGGTAACCAGGACACGGGCTATCCCCGTCACCCCAGAAAGGTCCACCAGAGGTCAGCGCTGTCCTCATCGCTACCTGAGATTCTCCTGGCGTGACTGTGGGTGGCCACAGGGCCCTGGGACGTGGATGTGGAAGGAAGGCAAGACGGAGCCGGGCAGGTGCAGCAGTGCCCGGTGAGGAGAGCGGGGGCGGGGCGTGATGGCGGCAGGCGGCCAACCCAGTCCCGCTTCTGGGCCTTCCGGGCCCTGCCCCTGTGCACACGCACGTGACCTCACTGTGACCTCGATGAAGACGGGGATTTCTGCTCCCCACCACCCTCGAGAGGCAGCCCCTCCACGCTCGCCTACCCTGGCCACCGGGGAGAGACAGAGCGAGACAGCGATCTCCCATCTGCTAGTTCACTGGCGAAGTCTGCAACAGCTGGGGCTGGACCCGGCAGAAGCTGGGAGCCAGGAGCTCCATCCGGGTCTCCCACATGGGCGGCAGGAACCCAACAACTAAGCCATCCCCAGCTGCTGCCCCTTAGCAGAAGCTGGAACGGGCACTGGAGCTGGACTTCGAGCCCAGGCGCTCCGGTACAGGACACGGGCGTCCCCAGCGGCACTGCTGAGTTAAGTGCCTGCCGCTCCCGCCCCCCTCCCGAGCGCTCCCCCCTCCCGGGCCTGGTGTCTCGGCCTTTTCCACGCACAGGGCCCTCCAGCCTGCTTCCCTGGCTCCGCGTGATCCATGCGATTCCCTCCCGACCTGAGCCGGGGAGAGCCGAGGGCCAGGGACTCTGCCAGGCACAGTAAGTGCTTGTGCCCAGCCACCCCGTGTGTCCGTTTCACTCACTGTGGGGGGGGAGTGGAGGCCAGCCCCGGCCGTTGCCCTGGGCTGAAAGCATGGATGGGGTGCTTGTTTGTAAAAATAAGAAAGGAAGGATGTCCCCTGCCAGTGTTCTCTGTGGCTGCCCCGCCCCACCAGGAGGAGGAGGGCACTGCCCTGGGTCCTGGGAGCCCACAGGGCCTCAGGCCGTGTCCTCTGCTCCCCAGGGGAGCCCTGAGTGACCCCGACCCCAGGGGCAGCCCTGCCATTTGAGTTGCAAGGGTGCCGCCTCCTCTGGAAAACCATAGCACCTGAGGGCCGGCGCCTGGCACGTCACAGGTGACTCAGTCGCAAACGTGGGCAGCGGCGCCTGGGCGAGTCTGTAACCTGTGATGCAGGCTGCCTTCGGCCCAATTTACAAACGCCCAGGCTGAATTCAGCCATGACCGTGCAGGCGATGGGTGCCCGGCTCCTGTGCAGGTCCCCAGGGGGAGACGGCCCTGGAGTGTGGAGCGGGGAGCTCTGGAGCCGAGAGCCAAGTCACAGTGGGGTGCGGTGATCGCCGAGGCTCCCAGGCCTGCTGGGGGGCACGAGGTGGCCTCAGGGGGTAGAACCTTCCCCAGGGTGCAATCGTGAACACCAGCACCTCTGTTACAGCCAGACACGCACTGCCTCTGCTGCGCGTCCGCAAGCGCGTTCCCATCCGACGTCTGTTTAGGTGCTGTGAAGAAAGCTCCCAGAGAAATGGCCGGTGCAGGGTCAGGGTCAGGGCCAGGGTGAGGTCACGGCAGGGGCAGCAAGTGCACCTGTGAGCTGGACAGACGTTCAGAACAGGCTGGATTCTGCCTTTAGCCCGCGCTCGAGGAGCAGCCGCGGCCTCCTGCCCACGTCCCGGCAGCTCACTCCGGGCATCCACAGGGGCAGAAGGCTCTGTCCCCGGGGCTGGGGCTCCGAGGCGATGACCCTGCCCCGACTGCCCGCTGACGTCCGGGCTCAGAGTGCTGCAGGAGGGGCCGGCGCTGTGGCGCAGCAGAGACGCCCCTGCCACACCGACATCGCCTGTGAGTGCTGGTTCGAGTCCCGGCTGCTCTGCTTCCGATTCAGCACCCTGCTAATGCGCCTGGAAAGGCAGTGGAGAATGGCCCGGGTGCTTGGGCCCCTGCACCCACATGGGAGACCCGGATGGAGTTTCAGGCTCCTGGCTTCAGCCTGGCCCAGGCCCCACTGTTGCAGCTATTTGGGGAGTGAACCAGTGGATGGAAGATCTCTCTCTCTCTCTCTCTCTCTCTCTGTCTTCTCTCTCTCTGTCTGTCTCTCTCTGTAACTCTGCCTTTCAAATAAAAAATAACAGTTGAGCAGGTGTGGCCAGGGCTCCTGAGCCTCTGGCTGCCCATTGCACAGCCGCATTTTTCTCTCTCACCCTCAGGGACTTGCAAATGCCAGGCTGAAGCCAGCTCTCTGGTCGCACCTGCCTCAATAAACTATGTCAGCCAGTCAGAGGAAGTGGCCCCCACCCTAAAGGACCCCTAACCCCAAGCAGGGCTGGCACTGAGCCTGCGTGCAGCTGGGACAGACAGTCCCGGCCCTCCCTGCCAAGTGTCCCATTTGGACGTCTGCTGCCGTGCGAGTGTGCCCTTGACGAAGCCCCTCCAGACGTCCGGGGGCCCGGGGGCCTCTGGATACCAGCGTCCTGCTGCCCCTTTCCTGGAAGCCGCACAGCCCCGTGCCCGTGACGTGGGCCTGAGCACCTTCCGTGTCACTCTAGGTTCTTGTCTCACGCCGAGATAAAAAGCCTAAGCTCAGCCTAGGCGCGGGAGCAAATAGGAGCTGGACTTACTTAGCCGTGAGGTGCCGTGTGTGAGGGTTCCCCGGAGAGCGCGAGCCAGGGCTGTAAGCCAGGTGTAAGTGCGGCCCATGGCGCGCAGCCGCACAGCCCGCTCCCCTGCCCTCAGCCTCCTCCGTGAGGTAGGGGTGGTGCTTTAATGGGATACACACACCAGGGGGAGTCAGCCACCTCCTGGTCCCGATGAGACAGGTGCACCCTGGGAAGGTGGGTGTAGCAAGCCAACAGTTAAAGAGACAAACATTAATTTGCAAGGGTACAAGAATTCCAGCTCTGGGAGCAGCATTGTGTGCAGTGTCTTTTTTTTAAGATTTATTTATTTATTTATTTGAAAGTCAGAGTTAAACAGAGAGAGAAGAAGAGGCAGAGAGAAAGAAAGAGAGAGAGAGAGAGAGAGATCTTCCATGCGCTGGTTCACTCCCCAAATTACCTCAATGGCCGGAGCTGCGCCGATTCGAAGCCAGGAGCCAGGAGCTTATTCCGATCTCTCACGCGGGTGCAGGGGCCCAAGGACTTGGCCCATCTTCCACTGCCTTCCCAGGCCACAGCAGAGAGCTGGATCAGAACTTGAGCAGCCGGGACTTGAACTGGCGCCCATATGGGATGCTGGCACTGCAGACAGTGGCTTTACCCGCTGTGCCACAGCGCTGGCCCTGGTGCAGTGCCTTCAGCTGCTGCCTGCGAGACCAAGATCCTGTATGGGCACCAGTTCAAGTTCTGGTGACTCCACTTCCAATCCAGCTCCCTGCTAACGTGCCCAGGAAAGCAGTGGATGATGACCCACATGCTCGGGCCTTGCACCCACGAGGGAGACCTAAATGCAGTTCCAAGCTCTGGCTTTGGCCTGGCCCAGCCCTAAATAAAAATAAATGTTTAAAAAAGAAAAAAGAGGGGCCGGCACCTTCTCATACACAGATGTGATGGAAGCTTCCGGAATGGTGATGGTGCCATTTTCCTGCCCACACCCAGGAGCGCCGAGGGCTCTGCCGGCCATGTGTTCCACCCATGTCTAAGACAGGGCAGCGGGCGGGCCGACGCTGTGGTGCAGCAGGTTAAAGTCCTGGCTGCGATGCTGGCATCC